AGACTCGAATCTCTCTATTAGACTCACTAGCACTTTTTCCACTATCCTCTTATCCGTCAACTCTTCTCCAAGTATTCTGATTTTGTTGACCACATTCATCAGTTGATCAACGCACTCTTTAAAGTTTTCAGACTCTTGCATTTTTAGAATCTCAAACTCCCTCCTAAGATTTAAGACGTGCATGTTCCTAGTTTTATCACTTCTACCAAACTCCTCCTTAAGCTTATCCCAAGCTTCTTTCGCTGTCTCACAAGCTATTATCCTTGTGAAAACATGATCTGTGACAGCTAAATGTATGTGCGACAAAGCTCTTGGAGCTTTCGCTGCTTCTTCTTCATGGAGTCTAATTTGGTTCAACGTCGAATTTGGTCCCAGTTGAGGTGGTTGCTTCTCTTCCACCACATATTGCCAGAGACCTTGGCCTCACAAGAACGCTTTTATTTTTAACAGCCTACATATGGTACTGCTCTCCATTGAAAATTGGTGGTAAAAGGGAAGCTAAGCTTGATGCCATGAAGATAGGTTTGTGTTTATAAATTGGGAAGTTTTACGTGGAAAGGTGATTAAGGATATGTGAGAAGGATGAATCGCGGTGAAGAGAACCCAAGCTCTAATACCAAATGTTGGTTTACAAGCTAGATAATACAAAGGAAAGAATGCAAAAGTATTTGTTTTTTCTCAAAGACAAGTGTTTTTTTAGAGAATGTTTTTTGCTAAATATTTCGTCTCTCTTGACTTGTCTACTTTTTAATGATTACCATAAACAAAACATATAAGCAAGTTGATTACATCATCATATACATCATTAATACTAACTCTTGCAGAGTATTAAATGTTAACCTAATCTGTGAAGATATTTACAAGATATTATCATAGAGCCATATATTCATAACTAATACAAAATCTTTTAGACTTAACTCCCTAAAAGTCAGCTAAACCACTCCATGATCGCATGCACATTTGATCGCATGGATTCTTGCTTGCATTGCTTCCAAGTTGCATTACCTTCTAGTCGCTTTCTTCAGTTTGCATACCTTTTAGGTCACATGCTCTCAAGATCGTTATCAATCACATATGTCTTTCGCTCGAATCCATCTTAGCTTTGCACACATGATCGCAAGCTTCAGATCGGGCAAGCCTTTAGATCGCATTCTCATGTTTCTAGCCAGATATCACTTGCTTTAACAGAAGCAATACATAGAGTAGAAAATAAGCAGTTTCCACATGCTCAAAAAGTGTATCTCATTGCCTCATGAACCGTAGCAGGATTTTGCAATGGCACCGCTTCATCTAATGCCTTGTTGATTTGTTTAGCCTTCATGGCCATATATTCTTCAATTTGGAATGGCTTGGTTATTAGTTTCTCTTTCTCGTCCATGAGGGATCGCACAAAAATTGACTACACAAATTTAGGGTGGCCAAATTGAATTCCAATTGTGAGCTCATATCATTTTTCCAAATGGAATTCCAATTCACATACTCCTTTCCTTTATATACCAAGAACAACCAATCCCATTTATTGCATGTCTATCAAGCATTCTCAAGAATAATAAATCAAACATATTGAATCTAAACATAATGGCAAAAACATGATAAAAATCCAAAATTTAGCGAGTTAACATAGTAAATTAACTCTAATCTAACGAATATAGTTTAGGATTAATGGTAATAATTAAGGAAAATACTAGTTATTATTTAGTCGAGTTACCTTAAAAACGTGCTGAACAACATCGGAAGGATTGGTGGCGCCAAAGGAGTTGATAAGTTGGCCAAACAATAACAGCCATAAGAGGCTGCGCCAGTCCATTAGCAACAGCAGAAATCGTTCCCACTCCCACCACCACCATCAAACGACATTCTTTTTGTCGGCAAAAGCAAACAGTTTTATAGAATGCCACCTTCTCTGCAGTCTCATGATTACCTCCTCCATTTTCTCTCATTCTTCTCTTCTTCTAAGGTCTCTCAACTCACCAAGCTAGCGAGTTCGCTTTCATAAACGTGAATGTAAAGTCAGTTCGTATTCATATAAATGTGAAAATTTGGAGTTTGAACTTGAATTAAGGTTTTTTAGTACGTGTAGATTGCTTCTTTATTATTCCTCCTAGATTTCCTGAATCCCTCTTAAACTTATTATTTAACAAGTAATTGCTTATTTGTTATTTAAAATAAATAAATAAATATTATATAATTCTTTATTTTCAAATTCATATATATATTCAATATATTATGGTTTTGATAAGTAAATAAAAGAATGTAAATCCGTGTATCATTTAGTTTTATTAGACAAGTTAAAGAATAATTATTTGATACAATTTTCTTATATGAGTATTTATTTTTTATTAATAAAAATAAAGTTTGATATTATTAATTATATATAAACCTTTTTATACCATATCCATTAATAGACCTCTTCATTAATTAAAAATTATAATATTAAACACATTTTAAATTATTTAATTGAAGTTTAATTTACCTTAAACATACTATTATACCTTAAATTTTTCACAGCTAATGAATAAATTGTATAATTCTACACAACTACGATGGTAAAACAAGTATCACCCACCTATGGATAGCCCAACGATAAGGGTAGACTAAGAGGGTTGTGAATGATTTCAACTCACAGTCTCAAGTTTAATTCTCCATTGAACGCAAATTTAATACTTTTGCTTATAATTTACTTGAAGGTCTAAGGTGGTGGATTGCTGTGGGACAACTTCTCCTAAAGATTAATCAAGATACGTACAAACTGACCAGACATCTCAGTTATTAAAATATAAAAAAAATTGCATAAGCGGGTTGGACACCCCAGTATTAAAAAATAAAAAAATCACATAAACTGGCTAGCATCTAATTTATTAAAAAATAAAAAAATAAAACAAAACAGATACCCTTAACCTAATCTTCATGAAAACTGGGTCGTTTACTTGTCTCCATTCCTCTGCATGAAATATTAGAATCTAAGCCAACTAGTCAAGTCAAAAGCACATGTTCGGATGCCAAATTTTTTATATTCATCTTCTCCTGTAGGAATAAGGACGCATGCTCCCAACTTTGACTCAAAACATCTGAAAAAGCTATGAATTGATCTATGCTTCATGGCTCCATCAAAATCAGTCTACAAAGTCAATAATTTTCCTATCAAATTTGAATATTCAACCAGTCCCAGAAGCGTTTTGATCAAACTTCTATTAATATTATATTTACATACTGTAAACCTTTTGGGTATTAAATTCTTATATTTCCTTATACAAGTTAATGGTTTTATACTATTTAAGTTGAAAAAGCATGCATTGTTTGAATGAAAATTATTCGTATTCTTTTAATTTCTGGTAAAAGAATATATGAAGCTAATGATATTGACTAGCAAACCACATTACTTTTTTTTTATAGACTTTGAATGATATAACTCCAATCAGAAGAACCTGCGGTGGCCATTACTTTTGACGTTCATACTGAATATAGACAACATTATATCCTAAACAAACGTGTGTCCTTTTCTAAGTTCAATCATATCTAACTGGATACCATGGCATTTAAATTAAACCATTTATTTAAAAAAGATAATACTACGTTAATAAACGAATCTCATAAATTTTTACTCACAAACACGATATGTCACTCCCACTACACTGNCCCTGAAAGTTTTAATGGGCCTAAGCTAATGGTTTTATACTAATTAAGTTGAAAAAGCATGCATTGTTTGAATGAAAACTACTCCTATTCCTATGCTTCTAATTTCAGGTAAAAAGAAGTAGATGATGCTAAATGCTAATATTGACTCTGAATAAGATAACTCCAATCAGAAGCACCTGCGGTGGCCATTACTTTTGACGTTTATACTGGATATACACAACATCTTATCCTAAATAAATGTTTGTCCTTTTCAATGTTCAACAATATCTAACACAATATCATTGCATTTAAACTAAACCATCTATTTAAAAATAGTATGGACAAATCATCTGTGCATACAGTATAAGAGATTTTTTTCAAGAAAAAATACTGTAAAGATTGCAACTAGGCAATGGCAATGTGAAGAGTATACGACACGTTCCCACCCAAGGTTTGACGAATCTATAAGTTTCCATCCCTAGTTTCATAAATTACAGACTCCCTCTCTTAAATTAACACGATTACTTTTCTCTCAAAATAACTCCCACATCTCAAATTTCTCTCAAATAACACGTAGAGATCCCAACCTAATTCTGACACCATTGGACCTCCTTGACACCACCATCAGCATCCCCTTATCCTCCTCACTAAAATCCCTAATTTTTTCACCCGATTGCACATTGGCGAGGTGCTTGAATTTGGCTAGAAAGGTGCGATAGAAAGCGAAAACCTAAGGGAGAGGCGGCAGCGATCGGCGGCCAATTGCGATTGAAGATGTTGGGTGGTTTTTGTGGGGGGAAGCTAGTGATGCTATTGGTGGTGTTGCAGGTGATTTACGATGTCGGAACCTACCGAAATTTGGATGAAACGTCAACTGAAACTAAGAGTGGCGGCCAGCGATTGTGAGGGTTCAATTAGGCGGTGAGGTTAGGGGTTTTGATGTGGGGGTTGAAGGGATTATAATGGTGGTGTCGGGAGGGGTCGACTGCGCTAGAAGCAAGCCGGAATGGCCTGAAATTATTGGTGGGGTGAATTTGAGAAGTGAAGGATTATTTTAAAATTTTTTGGATGGGATAAATTTGAGAATTGAAAGGTTATTTTAAAATTTTTATCTTTAAAATGATCATTTTATCTTTTTAATTATTAAATTAAATAATTTTCTGTTAATTTAAGGGTTGAATCTATCATTTATGAAACTAGGGTGGGAACGTAGATCGCCAAACTTTGGGTTGGGAAAATGTCGTTTACTCCAATGTGAATTATTGTCATCATCACCTGCCGCCTGGAGTTGACTGAAAAGTCTTATACATGATGTACATGCATGTGTTATAGATTAATTTCATCTGAAGATAATTTAACTCTCTCTGTCTCTCTAGCTCCTTCTAGCTTTATAGTTTTGGAAGTTCTTCAGTCTTCACAGTACTTAAGTTGACATGGGAGAAGCTCAGGAAGTGCAACTCCACATCATGGGTAAGTTTTTCTTTTATCTATATTCAATTTCCAAGCTCATGAAAAAATCGAAATTTCTTTTGGTTCACTCATTTCACTGATATAGAAACATATAGCAACAAAGAGAATTCCTTCATGTGATATTAGTGGTAAGAAGATTTAAGTTTTCATGGCAGTTCCAAGGGTTTGTTTTCTGTTTTTATTTTAAAAATTAATTAGCAATAATCTACAGTAAATAATAAATTCAACTTCATACCATCGTTTCAGGAATATTGTCTTATTCTGTTACTTCAACTTTGAGTTCATGATTTCTATTTAGAATCGTCCATAGTTATGTTGGAAAGGACTGCACTTCTCAAACTGTAGTTTCAGAAAAGCAATGAAAATTTCTATTCATCTTCAGTTTATAGTCTGATTTATGTAGAGTATTTTTTATCTGTCTCGATTAATACTTCAATATTGAGATATACTATAGAGTGATCAAGATGAACGAGATGAAAGTTTTCAGTACCTTATATATGTTGAGACTCCAGTACGAAATATTTATATTCTGTTTCTTGAATTTATTTGCAGTTGAGGAAGCTAAAGAACCAAATAGTGATCTGAATACAAATATGACAAACCAATCAACAGTTCCTCAACAAATTAATTACAAATGGTGGCTGAGAATAGCTCTTTACATTCTCATAGTCCTTGTTGGCCAGACAGTGGCATTACTTTTGGGAAGATTGTACTATGTTAAAGGAGGCACAAGCAAATGGGTTGGAACATTAATGCAAGTTGCAGGTTTCCCAGTTCTCCTTTTCTTCTACTGCTTTTCAGCTTTCAAAAATTCCACCGCAAACAATCTTCAAACACAACCTAGATTTTCTTTTATTATTGTATCAGCTTATGCCTTAATAGGCCTAATCACTGCGGCAAATTGCTTTCTGCTTTCAACTGGGATGCTATATCTTCCTGTTTCTACTTACACTCTCATCTCAGCCTCCCAGTTAGGCTTCAATGCTTTATTCTCCTTTTTCCTTAATTCACAGAAGTTCACTCCTTTAATCATCAATTCTCTGGTGCTTCTCACCATCTCCTCTATCCTTCTCATGTTTCAAAATGGCTCTGGAGACCTCTCTGGAGTCTCTAAAGTGAAGTTTGCTATTGGTTTCATATGTACTCTTGGTGGATCAGCAGGGTGCGGATTGAATCTTTCCTTAACACAGCTTTGTTTTCGGAAGGTTTTCAAGAGAGGAACATTTATGGAGATTATTGATGTTATATTCTATACTTCAATGGTTGCAACTGGTGCTTCACTGGTGGGACTTTTTGCTAGTGGAGAATGGAAAAGTTTAAGTAAAGAGATGGAATTGTATGAACTTGGGAAGGTGGCCTATGTGATGACTATTGTTTGGGCTGCTATAGCTTGGCAGGTTTTTACTGTTGCCCTTGTAGAATTGATGGTTGAGGTGTCTTCACTGTTTTGCAATTCCATAAGTGTTTTAGGCTTCCCTGTTGTTCCAGCTTTGGCTGTGGTGTTTTTCCATGACAAAATGGATGGAGTGAAGGTGATCTCCATGGTATTGGCTATTTGGGGCATTATTTCTTATATCTATCAGCAATATTTGGATGAATCCAAGTCCGAGACAGATCCCAGAATGGCCAATGAAGTTTCCGAAGCTTTCCCTTCTGGCATTCAAATAGTTGATAGAGACTAACCATGAATAATTAATGCAGCACTTTTCAAGTAGTATCTTAAAAGTTTTTTTTTATCTCAATTGATCGTCTTCATGACATATCAAATAAGATGAAAATTTTAGAACATATTATTCATGAATCATGCAAGATTTCTATTACAAAATTCAACCATTCCATATAAAATTATCACTTTTAGTCCCTTCCCCACTTCTTGCTAAATGGGTAGTGATAAATCCAAGAAAATAAATGATCAAATTATGATTCTGATGCAACCCATATCCAATTTGTAAGGAGCAGAAATTATGCTAAATCTTCACGAAGATATTATGTATGTGGTGCTCAGTGCTCTATGACAATTACCTCTGTAATTCTAGGTAACTTAAACGCAAATGTTTCAACAACTCAGGGAAAGAGTTACTGGAAATGTGACATAATTTTATAACACTACGCACCAGTAGCTTCTATATTGATCTATCTATCGACAATTGTCTGTCAAATCCAGTAGAGTAGACTCTTAAAGAATTGAATCTCGTGTGCATGACACAGATTTTTGTTCATGCGGTCCGTCTTATACAGCTCCCCTTGGCTCTTTTCACAAGATCCAAAATAGAAGCACTGGTAGTGGTCATCGTCATGGGCACTCATAGAGATAATGATCGATAATTCACTCATTATTAACACCAACTTGCGCCGTCAAGTTGGAAACTTTTTGCTAATCAAATATAATTTGACAGGTTTTGGCTAAATGGGTTGCTCTTAGATTTTGCTCATCTCTTCAAATCTCAACTTCCTAAACCCATTCAGATGAGGATTAACATAAATACAGTAATATTATTATTGTCAAGTGAAGAGTTGAGTACAGGATTGAGCATCTAATCTGTCCTTTTTTCTGATAATTGGATTACAACTAGACTCTTGAGAAAAATTCTGGGAATCACTTGGTTAGAGCATAAAGATTTTGGCACGTGGTTGGTACTGTAGATTTCCAGATGATTAGATTTCATTGTCCAAAAATAATGTATACAATGGACAAATGCTTGTGTGGACCAGTTATCACTTGCAGATTGGCTCCACTAATTAAAAGATGATTGGGACAATAACCAACCGTTGAAAACCTGTCATGGTTTACAATAATACCATGATTCAATTCAACCATGCTCAATCCTTTCAACGAAATATATGGCCTACTGTTGAACAGCAACAGAGATAGATACTGGTTAAAATTATAGTTTATTTACCGGCTCGAATCCACCAACAATAATCAATTTATAATAATAACAACTCTCATGTTAAAGAATAATAAACCCAACAGAACGAGAAAGACAAGTAAGAAAACCAAATTGAAGTCAAATTAAGTCTACTTTGTACGTTAATCATCCATGAATGTAAGTACGTAACATGTGATTTGCTGAAACAGACGACAAAGAGTAAAAAACAGTAGTGTAAAGGTGGGTTTGTGTTACAATTAGAAGCTATTACTGTAATTATTTGTTTAGCTTCTTCATTCGTGTATAAATATATATACTCTCTCTCTCTATCTACTCTTTGCTTATTAGTATAGTCTTTTCCAGACTTCTTTTATCTTCCCCACATGGGAGAAACTCAGGAACTGCAACTCCAAATCATGGGTAAGTCTTTGAAATTCTCTAAGGGTTTAGTTTTATTGGCTTGATATGATGGTTAGAGTATTAGCTTTGTGTATTGCTTCCCTCCGTGTTTTAGCTGTTTTTTATTTTTTTCAATTGTAGTTTGCTTTTCCCCTTTACACTGTTTGTGGTTCTGTAAACTTGTGGATTTTTAGTTTATAGCGGAAAAAGGAATTTGCATCTTTGATGAACACTTCACAAACAGTGATGGTGTCACATTAATTTCATCGAATAAGTATGCATGTTACAGGATCTTTTGTCTAGGAAATAGTTGTAAACTTTCAATCCAAATTTTTTTTTTTTATTTGTAAAAAAGCATAATAAACTCTATGTGGTTGAAAAGTTTTGATGAACAGCTGGGTATAATTCTAAAAAATAATACAAAGCTGTTTTCGTTATTTAGTATGAAACTAAAACCAATGTAAACACAAATAGGAAAAATTGAATGCTTTTATTGGCAAATATATTCATATGTTAGCTTTGTGGCTTCTGCAGTTAATCTTTTCCATGCATAATTCTTTCCAGTTCAGGAAGCTAAAGATGGAAACCCAATTGAGCTCAGTGTTACCAACCAAGGAACAGTACAACACTCGAGAAACTATCAACGGTGGATGAGAATAGCCTTGCATACATTCTTTGTTCTCTCCGGCCAGACAGTGGCTACTCTCCTGGGAAGACAATACTATGACAAAGGAGGCAATAGCAAATGGATGGCAACACTTGTGCAACTCGCCGGCTTCCCGATTCTCCTTCCTTACTACTGCATTCCGCCACCAAAAATTTCCAACACAAGTAGTAATCAAACAACCCCGCCGCATTCTTTCCTTATCCTTGCTTCTGTGTATTTCTTCCTTGGCCTACTTGTAGCTGCTGATTGCTTTCTGTATTCAGTTGGGTTGTTATACCTGCCGGTTTCAACTTATTCCCTCATTTGCGCATCCCAGTTGGCCTTCAATTCGTTCTTCTCCTTCTTCCTTAATAAGCAGAAGTTCACTCCATTCATAATCAATTCTTTAGTCCTTCTCACCATCTCTTCCACACTCCTGGTTTTCCAGAACGACTCTGAGAACACCACAGGAGTGTCGAAAGGAAAGTATGTAATTGGATTCGTATGCACAGTTGGAGCATCTGCTGGATATGGACTTGTGCTTTCGCTCACACAACTCGCCTTCAACAAGGTTCTGAAGAAGGAAACGTTTACAGTAATCATGGATATGATAGTGTATACGAGTTTATTTGCGAGCTGTGCTACATTGGTGGGACTTTTTGCGAGCAAAGAATTTTTGAGTATAAAGACAGAGATGGAAGCATACAAGTTAGGGAAGATTTCATATGTGATGAATTTGGTTTGGACTGCTATATCTTGGCAAGTGTTTAGTATTGGTGCAGTGGGATTGATCTTCGAGACGTCTTCTCTGTTCTCCAATGCCATAAGTGTACTGGGTTTGCCTTTAGTTCCAGTTCTAGCTGTGGTATTTTTTCATGACAAAATGGGTGGCATCAAGGTGATTGCCATGCTGTTGGCTTTATGGGGCTTTCTCTCATTTGTTTACCAGCACTATCTTGACGACTGTAAGTCCAAGAATGAGAAGAGAAAAGCTGATGAAGTTGTTCAAGCCTCTAATGGGAGTCAATAGTTGAATGGAAAAGAATTCTCAGGACCAACCAACTATAGATGTAAGATTTACAAGTTCTTTGTGTTGATCTCAACGAAATTGTAATATTTTTGAAAAAAATATATATATACATTTCACAAATATAGTTTAAGTCTTGGGATAATTACATCAACAAATGGAAACGGAGAAGGAAAACTCTATTATTTTTTCTCTATTAGGAAAGCACTCGTGAGAGTTAGCTTGATGGTTAAGAAAGTTTGCTCTCTTCTTTGAGTTTCTGGTTCAAACCTTAAGGTCACCTATCACAATAACATTATGGTTTACCTGATCATTTGGGCTTGCCAGGTGTCCAAAGGACCTGGCTTACTAGATCATTTGGTTTTGTAAAGTGTTTAATGAACTTGGCTTACCTGATTATTTGGGCTTATAGAGTATTCAATAGACTTCGAGTATTAGTTAAGGTACACGCAAAACAATAATAATTGAGAGAGACTATATAAGACTGACAGATGACTGTTCCGTCATCAAATTGTCCTCCCATGACCATCCTTTTCTTTGATTTCTTCCAAGCGATGAGATGCAAAAGAAGCCAGCTCACCTCTTTTTCAAATTTCACCAATAAATCAACAAGCCCTCTGCCCTCATCTCATTAATACAATACAAGTGGTAGCTTCAAATGGTCATCCATCTATACACTCTGTCCTCTCTGGCCAGTCAGTGGCTACGCTCCAGGACTACTCCATTATGAAAGAGGTGGAAATGATTAACTCTTCTAAATCCTTACCACTGTGGTCACCACCCAGAATTCTCGCCACCAATGGTACCCTCTAAATACAGCCACCTATTTTAGTCCTACTCGTTGTCTCTTTCAGTATCATAATGCATTGGATTGCGCTCTTATCTACAGTACCTACTTTCTCCCCCATTTGTGCAACCCGGTTACCTTTCAATGCTCTTTTCATTTGCCACAAAACCAGAAATATAACTAACAAGCATAAAAACATTCTCAGTCCTACATATGTATTTATTCAGTCAATAAAATCTAGCACTGGAAATTTAGCTTCAGTCTCTTCTAAGATGTTCCATCTACTATAAAAAGGCATTATGAAAGGGAAAGAGTTGACTTATAAACAGCCTTAAAAATCCATCCAGTAGAAACGGCAATAACCAACATGAACCAGGAAGGCAGTCTGAAAACCAACCCTCAAAGAAAATCCAAGGAAATTTTGTTTCCAAAAGTCAATGACAAAAGTTAAAATAAATTGTATCAAAATCAGGGGTGTCACACTGTTTATGCAGATAAAAATTTACCAGTAAACTGACTCTTCCCTGTCCTCTTTGGTGAAAGCTACAGGAGGCTTGTGGATCTCACTAGTATAACTTGTGTACAACTTAACTTGAGAATCAACTATAGAGCAATTTTAATAACTTTAAAAATGTAAATTGGCACAGCAAAAACTTGAAGAAATGTTACAGTACCATGTCAGCAGGAATTCAATCAAACTACATGAGACAGCCAACATAATGAGCTCGAGGATGCTTTCTCTGTAATTGTGGCCACTGCACAAAGAACTGATCAGCTATGTGTAACCTGTAAAGAAGCAAGCCACTTAAAGAGAGCCTTTTCACTCTTGCTATACTCTCAACATAGAAAACAGATGACCATCTAATTCCCAAGACCTGCATGTAAAGATGACAAACTTAAATGAGGAACTCTTAAGACCATCACTTCAGCCTTTATCTAGCCAAGAAAAAAGTGAAACCTAACGGTTCAGACGTATGTTCCACATGCCTTAAATAAAAATGCAATTACGCATAGAGGAATACAAGTCCCAGGTCCATTGCAAAGAACCTAGATAGACAAGAATTTGATAATCAGTGATGATTAAATTTAAGAAAATGCTTAAGTAGCATTGCCATAACTACAACAGAACACAAGAGGTAAAAGGTCAAAGCTAATACCACTTGTGGTCTGATTCTAATCATTAGCCACAGTGCATGAGCAATGGCAAGTAAAGTTGTCCAAACAGAGGTTATATATGATTGACCAACTTCCCTGCTTCTGTAGATCTGTATGAACCGTGCAGAGGATCCCTTGACTCCATTCTGAAGATAAACAAAAGCCAATTAAATGAAGAAGACTTAACTTAGTAAATTTATGATTTGGAAGAAAAGACAAGCAATAACATAATCAGGTGGAACACATATGATGCAACTTTTAAGTGACATGAATGGCATTTATGTATCCATTTAACATCATCCAGAAATAATAATAATAATAATAATAATAAATAAAAAAATAAAAATCTCTTGATTCCAACATTCACATGTTAATTTACACATTCCAAATTAGAAGTTCATAATATCATGCATCCAAAACAAGCAGAGTGTGATCAACTGGATGATTGATATGCATATATATGTAAAAAGAGAGCAACACATAAAGAGAACATCTTAACCGACTCCTCTATAACAGATGATATACAATGTTTCAAAGAGTTCCATACCAAAGCTTTGAGTCACTAACTTGGAACTTTTGTTTCCCTTCAGAAATCACCTAAAACCACTAAGCAAACTCACTTTGAATCAGTCCCCACAAACTCAATCTAAAAATTCTATTCAGACTGCTCCCTAACCAATTTAGGGATTCCAGCATCATGCTAAATCATTTGTTTTCCTTAACTCCTGCCTTATTCAAGATTCAGTCCATAGATCTTCCCCAATGGTTGTGAGGTTTGCTGTTTTCAACACTGTGAGGCTCATTGAGTACATCACTCCTACTGCACTTTAATCTTTAAAATGCATTACTTCAGTTTGATTGATTCATGGATCAATAATTAATAAGTTGAAGTATTTAATTAACACCTACAAAACTAATAGTGACTTGTAATATAACGATCAGACATTCTCAAAGCTTCTAAATATCGAAAATGTGATATGGACAAAAAAAAAATCAAATTTGCAATTATGGGAATAAAAAATGGACAATTTTAGTAAGAGAATCTACCTTATGAACCAAAGAATCCTCGAAAACGCGAGCCTTTTGAAGACTCATATTATCAGTGGCAGCAGCAATGTAAAAGCGCGGTGCAAACCTGTCCATTTGCAGTACCGATAAGAGGTTCATCATCTCCGCCGTGTGTCCGCCTTCACAAATTCAATTGATAATAGAATTTGATGAATTATAATAATAAAAGAACAACATTTTGATCGACCTTTTAATTATAGGAAATTGACTCACCTGAACCTAAAACAACGAGAGTAGAGAGTGGCTGTGAGGATTTGGTGCGGCTAGGTTTTCCCGTTAAATAAAGAACGTAAAGAAGACGAATTGTGAAAATTGTAAAGCTAATGGCAACGAATGCCATTATGGACCAGCAACAGTCGTTCAGTTTCTCCATCGCCGGAATTTAAAATTTACATGTGCGTTCACTCAGAAGAAATTGGCGCGAATTCGATTTCTCCGATGAAGGGAAAACTGGAGAAATAACTGTAAACAGTTTGATTGAAAAAGAGGAAATACGAGCAATGACCGTGATGGAAGCTCTGTCCGTCACCGTCACGCTAGTTACTATAATTAGTCATGGATGATGAATAGTGAACTATCAGCAAAAACTGAACTCATCTTGAGAAGCCCAACCCATTAATGAATTTGATATTGCAAATAAGGCCTGTAGGCTGTAAGCCTTGAATTGGCACGAAAGAAAAATTGCAATTGCAAGTTTGACCTTGTTCATGAACAAAACGTCCTCCAATGTTATAGTTACCGAAAGTAATACATCGAATTTATACATCGAATGACGTGATAAAATTATAACTGTCAATTAATTAGAAATTAATATTAATCGACGGTCAGGATTTTACCACGTCATTCGGTGTACATTTTCGGTAACTCTATCATTTTCCAATTACATCTATACCAACTTATATTTGGGACCTACTCGTATAAATAGGGATGGTTGTAAGCAAGGTTCTGACAATCGGACCAGACCGCCCGGTCGAACCGGTTCGACTAGCAACCAGCGGCAAATCCGGTCTGGTATATATAAAAAACCGTCATTTGGAGTTAAACCGGATTGGACCACGGTTGGACCATCGGAATAGTGCCAAATCGCGGTCCAATAGTGGTCTAATTGCAGCTAAACCCTGCCGGATTCCGGCATCTTTCAACGGAGAAAACACCCCCATTCGACGGACGGTATCTCCACGACCAAACCCATCCATTTTCAGTCGCCGTCGTCTAGCCTTCATCGATCGCCGTCCACCTAAAATTTACGCGACGTCGGATTTCTTTTGTTGATTCCGGCGAGTTCCAACGCCGATGGAACTCCGTAGCACCACCGTCAGAGTCTCTGGCACCTGCACATCAAAAGCCCCGAGATTCCAGCTTTGATTGGCCGTCGATCATCGCTGCCGCCACCACTCACTAGAATCTTCGCGTGACAGGTGTGTTTTAGATAGATTTCAAACCTTAAAGGAGTATTATAGAGGTGTTTTTGATGAATTTCAAACCTTCAGAGACTAAAATGTAATTTTATAAATTACGGTCCAACCGACCGATCCAACCGGTCAAACTGGTCAAACCAAAAACCAAACCCTTAAACGGGTCACTGTCCGATCCGGTTTTCAGAACATTGGTTGTAAGACAGTCAAGAAGAAGTATTGCAAGTTTGAAAATCCAAAGCTCTGAGAAAGATTTCCAATTTCCAAAGAATACTGCATGTGGAGTTCATTCAAAGTCAATAAATTTGATCTTTTTTTTTTTTTTTTTTTTTACATTTTTAGTATATTATTAAAACTGATCAAAATATATAACATTATTTTTTAGATTCCAAAAATATTTAAATATTTTTTTTTACAGAAAGAAAAATTAGCATTTTCATTTTCCTATTGAAAAATTTTAAATTACATGAAAATACTTGAGAAATTTTTTATAAAAAATAATTAATAAATCCCTTTAAAAATATATGTATTCAAATATGTTTCCCTCGAAAAACATATATTTACTCAATGATTATTTAACCAAAAAAAAAAAATCCTAAAAGCATTATAGATAATCTTCAATAAATTGCATTTAATTTAATTTAAACTGTCACCTTCTTTAATTGTTAAATTTAAATAACTCTTCCTTCCAAGCAGGCGGCCAACTCTGATATACCAGTCAAAATCCATAAGAAATTCGCAAATAATCAAACAAAAATTTAGATGCAAATGAATTCTAAAAACCAGTATGCAGCAATATAGTATCGTTCTCCCCACACAAGGAGAAAAGAATAACCAAAATAAAATTGCTCGCAGAGCCTTTTCATGGTTTTTGGTTATATACTTCAAGCAGAAACATATGTATACATATACTATTACATGAAAGTTTCACATTAATTAGCAATAAGCATCAACTAACAGTCCATACCTTCACAACATTCCTGTAGTAGCACTAGCTCTTCATATCTGCAATAAATCAAAATATAATCTCTGTTTATGGGGACAAAATGTTAATACTTAAGCAATTGAAGAAATTGAAAAGGGGCACAATTGATTGACATACCTCCCAACTTGATGCAACTAGTAATTAATTAGTGTAAGGTTTCTACACAAACGTTCGGAACATGTGCTATCTTGTACCAATCTTCTCCTGTCTCCTTCTCGCATCTCTTCACCAGTTCAGGGCATTCCAAAATGATCAATTTTTGTAGATTGGTGAGGCTCTGGATGCTGGCGGGAAGAGATGACAACTTTGGGCATTCATAAATATGCAAAGACTGAAGAGATGTTAGGTCTCCCAGCCAGTGAGGCAATGATGCTAATTCAGGGTAGCTGCGTATGCTCAGTGTTTGCAGTGCAGGGACATACCTTATGGACTCAGGCAACACTGTCAACTCCCATATGTCCAACTTCCGGAGGGAACTATGGTATTTGATACCTTTCGGAAAAGTCAACCCCTCTGACAAATTTGAAAACTTTATGCACATTCCTATAGTCAACTCCTGAAGAGAGTTTAGGCCTTCCAGTACTTGCTCCGGAAAAGCCTCAAGCTCAAGGCATTCATAAATTGTTAACGATTTAAGACCATTGAGACTAACTCGATCAGTGGCAAACCCTTTAAGCTTTTTGAAACTTATAATAGACATTTCGCGAAGAGAGGAGAGATTTTGCAGAATCCCATGAGGAAGGTAAACTAAATCGCAATTTTTATAAAGATGTAGGTAAGTAAGGCTTCTGAAATGTGAGATTGATTTTAGAAGTTCCCCATTGCAAGAATGAATCACTAAACTTTTTGCTGAAGGAAGACATGGCAGGGTGGTTAATTTAGGACAGTCATAAATTTTTAGCTTCGTAGGACATGGGAATAACTTGCTTCCATCCTGTCTTGACAACCTCTGTAACCTCGGCAATCCATCAATACAGAGTTCCTCCAAAGACGGAATTTTCTCTCACCTTGGAAACTTGTATCAATGTACACCAGGTTAATCAAATTTCTAATTGTAAGATATCGAAGCCGAGGAAGTTGCCACAAGGGAGGAAGTTGTCGACAATTCTCACAGGTAGAGAGCGTGATAGAAACAACATTACTTAGATAATCCATCCAAACTGGAAATTTGGCACCTTTATAACCTTCAATTTTCAAAATTTCAAGGTTTGAGTGAGGTTTCAAAATTTCAAATACTTTTTCAACCTTTTCCTGAGATTCCGATTCACTATCAAGTTCCCAAGATAATTCCAGGTGGCGTAGATTCGGTTTTTCGACCAAATTGGCTTCTTGGGCATCCATCAGATTGCCCACTCTATTAAGATGCGTGACACATAATTCTTCTCCAAGATTTAAACCTTTCAATTCAGCCAAGTGGCAACCTCTCCTCTCACCCACGATGAAGAGAGTTAAAGTTTTTAAGCAAGTGATCTGTCCAATATGTGGAGGCATTTGAGATAACTTGGTACAGCCATTCAGATAAAGATGTCGAAGATTTTTCAAGCATCTCATGCGCTTAGGTAGCTTCCAAAGTTGATAACAATCTTTCAAATTCAAAACCTGCAAATTAAGCAAGCTACAAAGTGATTCGGGAAGCAGTTTAATATGGCTGCCAGAAAGGTTCAGGTACCTTAGATGCTTTAAATGGTGAATTGAAGATGACAACGATAATTCAATTGAAAGGACACGAAGAACTCTCAATGAGATTAATCTCGAGATGTCACAAGAAAATCGCAGGGTTGGAACCACGATTAATGTCCTTAACGTTTCAACTCCATACAAAGCTTCAGAACTTGTAGCTGATAGTTGCAACCAATCAAGATCTAGTCTGACATGAAGAGTGCTTTTTGAGATATTATTTGAACCGTTGGCCTCCATGACAGCAAATTCATCTTTCACAATAAATTGTGCAAGATCATGAAGAAGATCATGCATTTTAAATAATAAATTATTCCCAAACTCATCTTTTTTCGCATCTTGAAAAAAGGATCGCCAATATAATTCTTTGCATATCTCAATCCCAATATCTTCCGGCTCAAAATTTTGACTGCCCTGAATAAAGCCATTGGCCATCCAAAGATGAATCAAGTTTTGTCTCCCAATTTCAAAATCCTTTGGGAAGACAGCACAAAAGGCAAAACATCTTTTTATTTTCGATGGCAAATGGGAGTAACTCAATCTTAAGGCTGGTACGATGGAATTTTTATCTTGTGGCAAATTCCAGAGCTCACTTTCCTTGACAGAAAGCCACTCATTTTCCTCACTTTTATAACGCATCAAGCTTCCAAGAGACTTCACAGCTAGAGGCACACCGCTACACTTCTTCACTATCTCTTTCCCTATTGCAACAAGGTTTGGACGTTTTTCTTTCTCTTGTCCAAATGCCCGTTCTTTAAACAATAACCAGCATTCATCTTCCGATAATCCTGACAAATGATGCATGGGAAGCGTTCCCATAATGGATGCAACCTTTCTGCTTCGAGTAGTGACAATTATCGAAGCACCTTTCGATCCACATGCCAACACACACTTTAATCTATCCCACTTCTCTTCGTCTTCACTCCATACATCATCTAGCACAAGCAAATACCTTTTCCTGTTCAACATATTTTGAAGGCGTCTCTGCAAAGGGTCTAACTCTACATCTTCACAAGCAGTTCCAGTTGCAGATTCAATTATAGCTTTTATGATCTTCTTCACACTGAAGTCCTCTGAAATGCAAACCCAGATTCTTAGCTCAAAATGCATGCTCACTCTCTCATCATTGTAGACCACCTGAGCAAGCGTTGTCTTCCCAAGCCCCCCAATACCAACAATAGGGTAGACGGAAATGTCATCACAACTGGCTACATGATTCACCAAATTTTCAACAATTATTTCTTTATCTTCATCTCTACCATACATGTGAGATTGAATAATTATGGAGCCAGTTTGGCATTCTTCTCCGACTACAGCTCCCCTCTGTGAAACTACCTCATTCAAATGAAACTGTATCCTCTCCTCTGCAATTTCATCTAACCTCTCTGTAATCTCTTTCATCCTAATGCCAATCGTGCGACGAAATAAAATAGTATCTGGACGAAGTTTGTTTAAGAGAGAAGTGTTTACCTTGTTGATACACCTTGAATTTTGGTCTTTAGACTCTAATCGAGAGACTTCTGTTGCACAATCATCCAAGATGTCATCCACCTTATAATCTGCTTCTTTTAGCTTCTGCAGCCAATTCTGAAGCGCCTTGTCTTGCACTTCCTTCTCCTCAGCATCTTCCAGCACAGCTTGAATAGTTGAGAGCAAGCTGGAAAGTTTGTTCATGTCTTTGTCAAGACCCCAAAGCAACCCAACCTCCTTTCGGATGAGTGAGTTCAAATTCTCCAGCAAAATTTGAACAAAAGCATCAGCCATTTGCAATTGCAAGTTCAAAAAATCCAAAGCTCTGTGAGAGATTTGTTATGGGAAGGGGATACAGGTGGCCTGAGTAGATGAGTAAATGGAATTGGAAGACTTGAAGGTGTTCGGAAGTTAATATTTGTGGGTCCTAACTTGGAAATTTGAGTCATGTGGCATGCTGCTAAAGAAATTTGCAGATTAACAATTAAGATAAATAAATAGAAGACTTTTCAAAAGGCCTATTTGCTTTGTACAGACTGTTTGCATTCGCATTCAATAAGCTGTATACATTTCCCGCATCCACATTCGCGTTAAATGCTCAAATTGTTATTGGGTTTGTAGAAACCGTTCACATTCACGTTCAATGTTTTAATTTCTCGCATCCACATTCACATTAAATGCTCAAATTGTTATTTAGTTTATAGAAACCATTCACATTCATATTCAATGTTTTGTAGAAGTCTTTCGCATTAACATTCATATTAAATGTTGAGATAATTCGCATGCATTCATTGTTTTGTAAAAGCTTTTAACATTCATATCCACAGTATTTATTTTGTTGGTTATATTGTGTTGGTATATGCGAATGTGAAGTGGCGTATTTTATTTTTTTGTGAAAGGGTATACATGCATGGATAGGCGTGAATACTAATGGATTGATAACAGTATATTATTGATTTTTGTGAATGTAAAAAAGATGCATTGTATCAGTTGTAGTATTAATTACTTTGAATCCTCTATATATATGTCCATTATGTAATAGTTTGTTATACAATTTATCTAAAGAAAGGCATGTGTTTAATTCCTAATTCTTATCTGTCATTGTTTTCTTTTGGTTTTTCCAATTTATTATTAAACTTTTGATGTTGATAACGTATTCATTTCTCTACGCATCTTTGATTGGTTGAAATTTATTTACTGTTGTGTCATAGTCCTGTTTGATCACTCTATGCATCTTTTCCATCTTCATTTTAATTTGTTTTGGAAAAATCAAGTGATGATGACCTGTGAGGACTGGTTTCATTTGACAATTTCAAGATGAACAGGTGAGGATTTGTGCCATAAAAACGAATTCAATTTTAGTAATGAGAAAGGAAAATAATTTTTTTTTTTTTTTTTTTTTGGGCTAAGTAAGTAACTTATATTAAAAAGAAGAAGGATTTACAAAGGCCTACGAAAAAAGTGGCCAGCCTCCACTAGGACATCCCCGCGTAGGGTGCAAAAAATAAACAATTACCTAAACTTGATGCTACACAATTCTCTTGGGAGCCTATCTAAACCAAGAGAAAAGGGAGATAAGACCCAAGAGAAAGAATCCAGCTAAGAAATCAACAACAACACCATAATCAGGACAATCACCTGGGTTTGGCTCCAAAAAACACATACAATGAAACACAAAGAAGATTCAAGGTAAAGAAAACAAGGAGAGTGAGGATACACCATGACAAATTCTTCACAATAATAACGAGCAAGCCAGTAAGTCTCTCAATGAAAAAACAACATCTCACTCGATCACATGGTCATCAATAACGTTAGGAGTGGAATGGGTGTCTTTGAAGATGGTTTTAGGAAGTCTCCATTAATCAACTAACTTCCTATTTTTATAGGAAGATTTAATATTGCTAAAGTCCATGGCTTTGTCTCTCACCACACTTTTGATAGTTTTGATAATAGTGGGAGAATCCTTATACTATCCCTCAAGGAAAACAAATATTGATATATAGTTTTAATTGTAATTGTTCAATCCTTTTTGTTGATATTTTTTTTATGTTACATACATAAATCATGGAAAGAGGTTGTTGTTGAATATAACTAATTTTATTTGTTTAACAAAGATCAATTTATGTTTGATGCCAAACCATATAGCTTTAGTAAACCATTTGTAATATGTCAAACCATTATTATTATCCTTAAAGGAAAACAAATATTGACATGTAGTTTTAATTGTAATTATTTAATCTCTTTTTGTTGATATTTTTTTTTTATATTACATACATAGATAATGAAAAGAGGTTGTTGTTGAATATAATTAATTTTATTTGTTTAACAAATATCAACTAATGTTTGATGTCAAAACATGTAGCTTTAGTAAACCATTCATTTTTTCGTCGCATACATTTTGGTTTCCATTGAACAATCAGTCTTAAATTGACCATAACTTGCTCAATAAAAATCTAATTGATTCGAGATTTGAATTTGTAAAAACTAGACCGATAGGGTTTTCATTTATATATTATACGCTTAATTTAGATGACTGTAGTCCCACTGCCAAACTATTGCTTTTATCACCACACACATTTCAGTTTTCACTAAACAATTAGTACTAAATTGACCATAATATGCTTAATAAAACTCTAATTGATGAGAGATTTGAATTTTTAGACACTACATAGATAGGGTTTTAATTTTATATGCTTAATTTTGATAACTATAGCTCCACTGCCAAACCATTCTTTTATCATCACACACATTTCGGTTTCCGATGAACAATCAGTAGTAAAGTGACCATAAGATGCTCAATAAAACTCCATTAATTGATGAGAAGTTTGAATATTTAGAAACTAGACAGACAGGACATTTATTTGATATGTTATACATGTAATTTGGATAATAGTAGCCCCATGGACAAACCATTCCTTTTATCATCACACATATTTTAGTTTCCCTTGTTTCTCGATATCCACTGAACATTCAGTAGTAAATTGGCAATAACTTGCTCAATAAAACTCCACTTGATAAGAGATTTAAATCTTGAGAAACTAGACGGATATTGCTTTAATTTGATATATTATAAGTTTAATTTAAATAGTTTTAGCTCTATTGTCAAACCATTCATTTTATCATTACACACATTTCAGTTTTCACTGAACTATTAGTAGTAAATGGACCATAACTTGCTCAATAAAACTCCAATTCATGAGAGGTTTGAATCTTTAGAAACTATATAGACAAGGCTTCAAATTTAAATATTATACACTAAATTTAGATAAACGTAGCCCCACTTCCAAACCATTCTTTTTATCATCACAAGTCAGTAGTAAATTAACAATAACTTGCTCAATAAAACTTCAATTGATGAGAGGTTTGAATCCTTAGAAACTAGACAAACAAAGCTTTAATTTTATATATTATACCATTAATTTGGATAACTATAGCCCTAGTACCAAACCATTCCTTTTATCATGACACATATTTCAGTTTCTGTTGAACAGTCAGTAGTAAATTGACCATAACTTACTCAATAAAACTCTAATTGATGAGAGGTTTGAATCTTTAGAAACTAGATAGGCAAGGCTTTAATTTGACATGTTATACGTATAATTTGGATAACTGTAGCCCCACTGTTGAACAATTCCTTTTATTATCACACACATTTCGATATCTCCTCTTTCTCGATTTACACTTAATAGTTAGTAAGAAAGTGGTCATAACTTGCTCAATAAAAATCCAATTGATGAGCGCTCGAATCTTTGAAAACTAGAAGGACAGAGCTTTAATTTGATGTATTATACAATGAATTTGGATAACTATAGACCTTCTGGCCGAACCATTCATTTTATCATCACACAGATAAAACCAATTCAATTTTAGTGATGACAAAGGAAAATGTTGATATGTAATTTTAATTGTATTTGTTCAATCTTTTTTTGTTGATATTTTTTTATTTTACATATATATATCATGAAAAAAAGGTTGTTGCTGAATATAACCAATTTTATTTATATCACAAATATCATCCGATGTTTGTTGCCGAACCATGTAACTTTAATAAACTATTTGTAATATGTCGAACCATAATTATTATCCTTAAAGGAAAACAAATATTGATATGTATTTTTAATTGTAATTACTCTATTTTTTTTTATTGATATTTTTTTATGTTACATACATATATCATGAAAAGAGGTTGTTGCTAAATATAACTTATTTAATTTATTTAACAAATATAAACTAATGTTTGATGCTAAACCATATAGCTTTAGTAAACCATTCATTGTATCATTACATACATTTTGGTTTCCATTAAACAATCAATAGTAAATTGACCATAACATTCTCAATAAAACTCCAATTGATGAGAAGTTTGAATCTTTAGATACTAGACGGACATGACTTTAATTTGATATACTATACACTTAATTTGGATAACTATAGCCCCATTGTCAAATCATTCCTTTTATCATCATACATATTTCTGTTTCAACTAAACAATTCGTAGTAGATTGACCATACCTTGCTCAATAAACTTTCAATTGATGAGAGGTTTGAATCCTTAGAAGCTAGATAGATAGGGTTTTAATGTGATATATTATATGCTTAATTTAGATAACCGTATCCCCACTACCGAACCATTCCTTTTATCATCACACACATTTTTATTTCCATTTAATAGTCTGTAGTAAACTGACCATAACTTGCTCAATAAAACTCCAATCGATGAGAGGTTTGAATCTTTAGAAACTACACTAGCAGGGATTTAATTTGATATATTATACGTTTAATTTAGATAACTGTAGCCCTACTACCAAACCATTCATTTTATCATCACATACATTTCGGTTTCCACTAAACTGTTAATAGTAAATTGACTATAACTTGCTCAGTAAAACTCTAATTCAAGAGAGGTTTGAATCTTTAGAAACTAGGTAGACAGAGCTTTAATTTGATATATTATTCACTAAATTTAGATAAATGTAGCCCCACTACCGAACCATTCCTTTTATCATCACACACATTTTGGTTTCTACTAAACAGTCAGTAGTAAATTGAGCATAACTTGCTCAATAAAACTTCAATTGATGAGAAGTTTGAATCTTTAGAAACTAGACAAATAAGGATTTAATTGGATATATTATACCTTTAATTTGGATAATTGTAGCCCTACTTCCGAACCATTCATTTTATTATCACATACAATTCAGTTTCTACTAAATAATCAGTAGTTAATTGATCATAACTTGCTCAATAAAACTCCAATCGATGAGAGGTTTGAATTTTTAGAAACTACATTAGCAGGGATTT